TGAACAACTCAGCCGCAGCCCTGAGGGTTGGTATGAAACTGGCCTTCCCTGGAAAGGGGACCATCCTCCGTTGCCCTCTAACAAGTCTGGAAGCTTAAAGCGACTGGGGAGCCTAGTCCAACGACTTAAGAAGACAGGAAGGCTAGACGACTTTGACGCTATCATACAAGAACAGCTTAATGAAGGAATTATTGAAGAAGCAGAGATGCCAGCAACTCAAAGAGAATTCTACATCCCGCACAAAGCAGTAGTGAGAGAGAGTGCAGAAACTACCAAGATGCGTATTGTCTACGATGCCTCAGCCAGAGCGTACGACTCAGCCCCTTCCCTAAACGACTGTCTGGAAGTTGGACCACCCCTGCAGAATCAACTATGGAAGGTACTCCTAAGGGGACGGTTTCATTCAGTGGCTATCGCTGGTGATATTCGCAAAGCATTTCTTCAAGTGCGTATCCGAGAGCAGGATCGAGATGCACTGCGGTTTCATTGGTTGGAAAGCAAGGATCTTTTTCGTGTTCGCACGTACCGATTCACCAGAGCTCTGTTTGGTTTGGGACCCTCGCCGTTTCTGCTTGGCGGCGTAATTCAGCACCATCTGAACACTTGCAGACCTACACACCCTGATCGCGTAGCAGAAATCGAGCGAGAACTGTACGTTGACGATCTCATTTCTGGTGGAGGTACTATCCAAGAAGCGAAACAAAAGAAAGCTACAGCAACTGAGATGTTCCACCAGGCCACCTTTCACTTACACAAGTGGCATTCAAACGTGGCTGAACTAGAGCTCACTGAAGAAACTGAAACTGGGGATGACTTAAGCTACGCCAAGCAACAACTCGGAATCAAGCCGAGAGAATGTGGGCTGCTTGGTTTAAAGTGGAACAAACTGACGGACGAAGTTGGAGTTGCAATTCCAGAGGAAGTTGCCCAACCGACAAAGAGAGGGATTCTGGGAAAAGTGGCGAGGATCTATGACCCCCTTGGTCTTATCGCTCCAATCACCCTGCAAGGAAAGCTTTTGTACCGCGATGCCTGTGAAGAGAAACGTGCATGGGACGCTCCGTTATCCACCCCCCTAGAACAGCAGTGGCAGAAGTGGGAACGTTCCTTGCCGCAACACGTAACTTGTCCACGAGCACTTACCAGCGTCCAAGAACCTATCGAGGACATTAAACTTCATGCTTTTGGAGACGCGAGCGGAAAGGGCGTGGCCGCTTCTGTGTACGCTGTGGTCAAACAGTCAAGCGCAATCAACCAAGGCCTGGTTACAGCAAAGGCAAGACTGGCCAAACAAGGGCTGACAATACCTCGCCGCGAACTGGTCTCCGGTCACATGGCTGTAAATCTTCTGACCAACGTACAAGATGCACTTCAAGGATTCCCTGTGACTTCGCTGCATTGTTGGCTTGACAGCAGCGTTGCCTTACATTGGATACTAGGAGGAGGAGACTATAAGCAGTTTGTGGCCAACCGGGTACGAAAAATTAGAGAACACTCTGATGTTGTCTGGAGGCACGTACCTACCCAGGATAATCCTGCAGATCTTGCTAGCCGAGGTGGACTGGTAACTGAGGAGAACCAACTGTGGTGGAAGGGACCAGAGTGGCTAAGTGATCCTGCGAAATGGCCAGCCGACCTTGTGACCGCGCCCACCGCTGAATCTAACGCAGAAATGAAAGCTACAAAGGAGCTCTTTGCCATGGCCGTTAAAGCTGATGACGATCTAGACCATCTTCTGGCCAAGCACAACTACTGGAAGACTTTGCGAGTGTGCGCTTGGATTATGCGGTTCGCAAACAACGCTAGAGCGAAAAGAGCGACAAGAACAAAGGGACCCCTGACAACAGACGAAATTGAGAAGCAGAAACACTTTTGGTTGCTACGCGTACAGAGCCGGGGAAGTGAAAGCATGGAGGAAGATCGCCTGTGCCTAAACTTACAGAAGAACAAAGATGGATTGCTTGAGTGCCGTGGGAGACTGCAAGGGGTCTATCCGATATACATCCCAGACGCCACAACGTTCGCAAACAAATATGTCGAACATGTCCACAAAGCCACTCTTCACGGGGGAGTGGGGCTTACTATGGCTAAAGTGAGAGAAGAGTTCTGGATTCCCCGCCTGAGGCGCCTCGCGAAGAAAGTCATCAGGGAGTGTTATGGGTGCAAACGCTTCCAGGCTGTTGCTCTCGCAGCTCCACCCCCCGGTTTATTGCCTCTGGAGAGAACTGAGGGCTCAACTCCCTTTGAAATTGTTGGCGTAGATTTTGCTGGGCCGATTAAGTACCGCAAGTCCTCTCGTGTAGAAGGAAAAGGCTATCTGGTGCTCTACACGTGCAGTTTAACGAGAGCCTTGTACTTGGAGGTCCTGCCTAATCTGGAAACTACTACCTTTCTTTCAAGCTTGAAGCGTTTCATCGCTAGACGTGGACGGCCTTTAAAGATCTTTTCAGACAATGGAAAAACGTTCGTAGGAGCGGCAAACCTACTGAAAGGAATCCAGAAAGATGAGCAAGTTCAAGGCTACCTTGCATCGGAGAAGATTATCTGGAGGTTTAACCTAAGTCGAGCACCCTGGTGGGGTGGCCAGTTTGAGTGACTAGTGGGCCTCTTCAAACGTGCATTCTATAAAGTAATTGGTGGAGGAATGCTATCCTGGTCAGAGCTGTGCGAAGTCGTGCTGGATGTTGGAACTCAACTAAATCGCCGCCCCCTGTCCTATGTAGAAGATGACGTTCAGCCCCCTCTACTCACCCCATCTTCTTTCCTATTCCAAAGATGTATTCGCCTCCCTGAACAAGAACCATGGCGAGAGGAGACAACTGACCTACGAAAGCGTGCCAAGTATTTGAGGTCTTGTAAGGACGCTGTGTGGAGACGCTGGTCTCGAGAGTACTTGGCGGCGCTCAGAGAGCGTCACAACTGCAATGGAAACGGCAAGGCGAGGCCCTTAAAGCCTGGTGACGTCGTTCTCATTCGTTCAGAAGAAAAGAACCGAGGAAAGTGGCCATTAGGAGTGGTCGATAAACTATTCAACGGCCGTGATGGAATTGTACGTGGAGTGAAGCTGCGCGCAGGGAAAACGTTTCTGGAGAGGCCGATTCAACACCTTTATCCCATGGAACTAGCATGCGATAGAGCGCCGGAGAGAGCTGAAGTCCTTACCCCCCTGAATGCTAAAGCGCCAGTTTTTCGTCCACGGAGAGATGCTGCGGTTGCCGCAAACTTGCGTATTCGTGACGCTATAGAGAGTGAAGAACTTTAAAACTAAACGCAGGACAGAACTGTGCGGATGGACGGAGAATATAAAGTGATTTCAGCGAACTTTGACATTCATTACTTTGTTTTGTTTTGTTTCTGATTTCAATTTAATTATTAATTAAGCTAGCCGTTTCCTTTGCGGGACACCTTAGTTAAAAAGAACGCTGATTGGCTAGATACGAATCTTCCAGACATAAGAATAACAAAATTTCCAGACAAACATTTCACAATCGCTATTTGATATCTATGCTATTATTCTGTTTCCGACAAAGAGACATCAAGTGCAGATGCTGCTAAATCACAAACAAAACAAATTGTGAAGATACTCAGGATTTACCAGGATGTAATTCGAGACAAATTTCAATATGACCTCGCCGAATTAATTGAGTACACACAAAGTCTTCTAATTACCAAACGATCTGTACTGAAACTGTCTGCCAAAATCTTTGATCCTATTGGACTGTTAACTCCGTTCACAATCAACATGAGGATCCTCTTCCAAATTCTATGTATTGAGAAGGTCAGCTGGGATGAAAGCTTGGAAGGGGAAGTTCTAGTTAAATTGAAATCCTTCATTAACAACTTGAACACTCTGAAGAACATCCAAGTGCCCAGTTGTTATGCCAATCATCCCATGACAGAGTCAGTCATGTGCTCGTATCAAATTCATGGGTTTTCAGATGCTTCCAAAAGAGAGTACACAGCAGTTGTGTACTTGAGAACCGAAGTCAGCAATGGTGAAATACAAGTCAATATCGTGACATTAAAGACTAGTGCAGCCCTGATCAAACCACAGTCAATTCCCAGGTTGGAGCTGCTAGGAGCCACATTGTTAGGCCAGCTGGTTCATTCGACACAACAAGTCTTACAGTCCATTCTACAAATTGAAGGAACGTTTCTATGGGCTGATTCATTCACCACGCTGTGTTGGATAAAAAACGCCGAGGCATGGAAACCTTAAGTGCAACACCAGGTCAGCAAGATACGAGAACTTACTAACAAGGCCGATTTGGAATTTCTGTCCCAAGGAGTTGAATCGGGCTGATGTATCATCATGAGGATGTAGAGGAGAGCAATTAGTGGGAAACCAAATGTGGTGGAATGGGCCCAAGTTTCTAAAGTTGTTAAGAGATCATTGGCCCAGGTCGCCTCAAACAAAAACATTGTTGGATAAAGAAGATGTCCTACAAGAAATGGTGAAACACCCTGCAAGTGTAATGCATTCTCTGGTCACAACAAAGTCAGACTACCAGTCAGTTGATCTCAGTCTAGTCATCGACATCGAACAATACAGCAGTGTAACACGATTATTTCGTGTAATAGCCTACATCTTGTGATTCATATGTAATGCCAAGACGAGTACACCAGACAGTGAAACTCGCAAGATACCCAGAGAGCTGAGAAAGGATCTCGACACAGAAGAAGTGAATCAGGCCGAAAAGCTTTGGATTAGGACTGTATAGAAAGCTTCATTTGCTAAAGAGCTTGATTTTCTGCAAAGTCAAAGAGGAACATATCCACCAGTCTATGTTACACAACTAGGTTTGTTCTTGAACGATCAATGAATCATTGGATGCAAGGGTAGAGTAAGCAATGCCCCACTTTCAGTCCCACTTCCATCTAAACACAGATTAACGAATTTCATTATCCAGGATGTACATTCCAAGATAAAGCATAGTGGTATCAAGGATACCTTAACCACCATTCGAGAGAGATTCTGGATACCAAGAGGTCATGAAGCCATGAAGGGAATTTTGAGAAAGTGTGCCACCTGCAAAAAGGTAGAAGGGGTTCCATACAGACCACCACCAACTCCAGATTTACCAATGGAACAAGTCTCATGGAACGAATTTCATGTTTATCATTGATTCTATCAAGCAAGCACATAATTCAGAGAAGCAAACCTTTTCACTACATGTCACTACAATTGAGGCAAATTGTTTCCCTGTTTTGTAGAGTTCCCAATGTTTCTCAAGAAAACATTGCAGAACTTAAACAGAACAGTACTGTACCAATTTCTTAAGATGCAACAGCTTGTTTAGCACAGTGACCCCAACAACCTGGTCTGTGGGACATATCATTCCTGCCCATACATCTGATGTTTTTCAGAAATACAACTTGGGCTTAAATAGAGTGTCTATGGAGGGCTGAGAAGCCAAGCATATGGAAATTTGAAGGTATAGCCAAAATACCAATAATCATTCAAGGTAAATGCAGACTTTTCAGCACAAATGTGTTCACCTTATCTGGCTCAGAGAAAGGGGCTATGGGGGAGAAGATATACCTAGAATTAAGCAAACCTATATACCACAAAGGGTAACAAATGGACAAGCCTGTTTTTTTGGCTTTGACAAAGGGCTTGGAGAAGAGAAGTGCTGTTATTGTTCACATAACTACAGCGCCCAAATTGAGAAGAGTGTTCAACTAGGGAAGATCACTGTTGACAAGAATCTCTGTTCTGTATAGTAGCTGCAAAAACTAGGATTAGCTTATTCTAAGTCCTCAAAAGTAAGCAATCAACAGAGAGTTTTAACAACCTACAGCTACAACATTTCTCATTCCAGCCAACAACTTTATTGTCCAACTTTCTTGCACTGTTCAAAATTGATTTAAACTGGATTTTTCAGATTGTGCTGGCTAAAATTTAGTCTTGCTGCAAAGTTTATTGACATGTTCATATGTTAGCATTCGAACAGTTGTGTTTGATTTTTGTTTGATAGCGGAGCTCGCAGAGCGTAGCCCCATAACTATACAAAATAGTAGTAACCCATCAAGCCAAAAAAATTTGGTTGTACGACCGTACGACCGTACAAGGTGCTACTTTTAGCATGCGCGGGCAACTGTACCACGGGCACTATCTTAGCCATTACGTAATGGAAGGGCGAGGGAGAAGGTAATGCGTAGGCGTGATTGCGTGCGTAACTTGGATACCCCATGAGAGTGCGCCGAGAGACACCGTCAGATGACGATAAAGTGCGCATACTCGAACGTCGAGCTGCAGTGTAGCGTCCTGCGGGCATACGGTTAGGCATTGCACGAGGGCTTCACGTGAGCTAGCAGATGAAATTTGCCACCCGCGTTTTGAGCGGGAAATCAAACTGGTCAGGATGTAGTTGAACAGTAATTCTAATTTTTTGCAATTTCTAAACAACTGGTAAGACAACAATACCGGCAGAGATTAAGCTTTGTCAACCGGAGGAAATTGTCATAATTCAAGTTCGTGGAGAGAGGGTTTTAATTGAAAATAGGCTGGATGTAAAGAGACAGAGCGACCAAAGAAAGCAACAAGTAAACGGTGTAAAGCGAGTCCAGAAAATCGTGCAAGAAAGTTACAAAGGACGCCAAAATAGGCAGAATATGACGAGAGGAACACGAAAGAGAACAATAAAGGTCATATGTAAAAATGCGAGTTTCTAGCGAAGAGCAACGCGAGAAGGAAATACAAAGTCGCTTCTGAAAACAGACAGAAAAGAGGTCATCAACAAAGAGAAGCGAACTGCAAAGGATCCGCGAAAGAAGAGCAGGTAAGCTGTGTCCTATCTGGGTTTTCTCTTACGCTAAGACTCAGAAAAAAATTCAAACTTTTTTTTTTACCAATCGTCGTTTGATACTAGCTTCAGTTTTTAATTCAACCGATCACGTTTCTGTTAAACAATGACTCTGGCATTCATAGCCTAAAAACTCTTACGCCGGTTCATCGCTCGAATAATACTGCAAAGTGTTCGTATTCTTCAAGTTATTTCTTGTCCTTTCGTTTGAAACTTTAATACAGTCGTGGTGTTATGGGAAAAGAAGTTATCTTATTTATTTTGTTTTGCCTAGAAAGTTTTCAAATGATGTTGAACGGCGAGTGCAAGTTTCTACTTTTTTTTCTCTTCAGTTAATTATCGCAGGATTCACTCTATTTATTTGAAAAATTTGCGCTTTGCCAGAGATGTGTTGTTTTACTCTAAGAACGAAGTAATGGCCTTTCCCAAAATTAAAATAAAATGGGATAGAGTCAGCGATGTTCATGTTTACATTAAGTCTAACGCGGTAATTTGATTTTGACGATATTGTCATGCGAGAACCCGTCAAACATCTAAGAATCAAATTACGGACCGCAAATGTGTGGTGCAAACAAATTCACAGATAAAGTGGAGATGGTTCTACAGCGGAATGAGTGAATTCAATTGTTTGGTTGTCGTACTTTTCAGTGCTATGTTTTCAAGCTTTCTACTCGATTCGTTCGAACTTCAGGAAACGGTTTGTGTCACAAAACATGGAGCCACCTTCTCTTTGCTCAACATCTCGAGGCGTTATGATGAACATGCTTGCTATACGGTATTTTTTTCCTTATGCTGGAAACTGAAGAATTAATCTCTAAAATTGGTAGTCTTCATATTTTTCAAGAAGCGTCCAAGCTGTGATCGTGCAATTAAACGGGGTTCTGGCAATTTGACCTCACAAGCGCGCTGGTAAGCACATGGTTCGCGTAAATAATTGTTGTTTACAGTTATCGAATTCAAGAGCAGTTTTTGAGAGTCTGTTTCTGTAACCTTCCTGGATATTTTCTGTTAAATTCATTGAGGTTTAGTCTCGGAATTTCATAAGCGATTATGAATGATAGATTCGTATCGGCACCATAATTTAGGGAAATTTTGTCAACTTATTAACAGTTTACAATTCGCGAACCATTTCTGTAACCTACTTGGATATTCTCTCTTGGAGTAGTTGATGTAATGTTCATGTAAACCGGAAGTTATCGATACCAGATGTTCGCTAGGAACTATGGGATATATGTAGCAGAACGACCATGGCGTCCACCGATGCTGTAACACTTCTTCTTACAACTGTTTATTAAATCGTTGTTAATCGTTTGCATCTTGTTTTGAAATCCATTCAAAACATCACAAATGGCGACGAGGATGGGATGCAAGAAATCGAAGACGGAAATCTTTAAGCGTTTAAAGTGTTAAATCAACTGGAAAATCCTACCGATCAACCTTGTTTTCAATGCCTGCAGATTCTTCATCAACCACTTCGCCTTCGCAGCCTTCAACAACTTCTGCAATGGCAATTAACCTACCGACCTTTCCTGAGTTTGATCTTCAACCAAGAGATACAGTACCCGTTCGCTTTGAGAAGTATGTCAAGCGTTTGGACAACATGTTTACAGCAATGAACATTACCCGAGCATCTCAAAAGAAAGCCATGTCATTGCATTACCGCTCCAGAACCGCCGGAAGGAAGTGACGAATACAAGACTGCCGTAAAGGCTCTTGCTGATCATTTTGAGCCTCAAAAGTGTGTGGATTATCACGTCTATGCCTTTCGTCAGGAAATGCAAAAGTCTGGTGAAAACATTAGCGAGTTTTACACACGTCTCCAGCTGTTAGCATGCAAGTGTCAGTTCGCCGATCCCGAACTGGAAATTAAGCGGCAGATTATTCAAGGAACCTCATCGCTTCGCCTGAGACGTAAAGCAATCGAACAGAGTCTCAATCTTGAGAACTTACTGAAAGTAGCTCGCGCCATGGAAACCGCCGACGAACAGACCACTGAGATGGAGAAACAGCAAACCAACGCAGTGGGCTTTCATTCATTGTTGGGCAAGCAAAGAGAACTCAGAGCTGTCCAAGGACCAATGAAGCATTAGTACTGGTAGGTAGCCATACATAATCCCCAAGGAAACCAAGTTGCTTAATTCTCACTTTTAAGCAGTACAGATACTTCTATCTCATAGTAACATTCAACTGGTGAAAGATTTATTAATAAAATAGTTTTGAGATATTAAAATTAATACTTGGCTGTGAGGCTTGGGGGAGTAAAACAAAAGAGATCATCTTGAGGCCCAGCAACGAATAATACATTTCTTTTGCTTTATTCCCCTAAGCCTCGGAGCCAAGTATGAATTCTACTTCATCATTGGACATTGGTCGATTCGGAGCCACATGAGAGAATGCGTGAGCGAGTAGGAGATCAATTTGTGTCTGATCTTTGGGAGATTAAGTTCATTCAAGGCGAGTTTTTTTTGGTCCTTTTACTGGACCATGTTGACAAAGACAAAGACAAAGATTACTGCCACGATGAAGAAGACCTTTTAAGAGACAACATGGAATCGACCAAAGCTGCAGAAAACACAGAAAAGACTAAAAACTTGAGCGACTTGCTCACCACTATGATCGTCAGCACGAATCAGACCATTTTAACCAAACATTTCCTCGATGGGAAATACCTTGAAGAGAATGCATGCTGACACAGCATCACCTACTAATGCAAAAAGACAACAAACCACGACTTCTCATCGTGATGAGCTAAGCAATGATGCCGACTTAGCAAATTCTAACACATTGCTTCAGGTCACTCATGCTCTACAAGGGTCAGCACCACCAAAAAGCTTAAGCAAGGTCGAGGACCCTCAACAAGCTTTTTAGGCATCAATAGTCACTAAGATGCTGAAGAAAAGAACAGTGAGGCTGTGACTGCCAAACTGACAGAATTTGGCAACAAATGTTTCTCAGCTAAACTTGTTGACGGGAAGTACCATGAGAAACTTGACAAATATGGCTGCCCATCAAACTGTGATAAGGTCACTGTAGCAACAGTGAACCCTGAAATTTGGGACAAGCTTGCTCATCAGGCTAAACAGAGAGATCTCCACGTAGCAGCCATTCAGAAGGCAGTCGCAAAAGTTGGGGCTATTTTGACTGGCTCAGCCAGCAAAATTATGACTACACTTGCTGAATCAAAAAACTCCAATATCACCTCGAATCTGGAGGAACTCCTGACCTTCAGTACAGATGTTATTGCACTGTTGGGTCACAGTACCAGAGTTTGTCCCAGCACCGTCGTGAGTTTGCTTGAACAAGGAATATAGTGCCTTGTGTTTGCCCCACATTCCAATCACTGGGAAATTATTTGGAGATGAACTCTAATCCCAACTCAACAGTATCAAGGCTTTGAACAAAATTAGCAACCTTGCGGCTGGTGTCTCTAGTCACCCCTTTCATGACAAACCTGGCAATAACAACAAAAGTGGAAACTGAAATGGATATCGTTTACACTGAAATTGAAAAACTTCTTCAAAAAGGTGTCGTCATCATGCAAAAAAGCAGTATGAACCCTACATTAAGAGATGGAAGCAGTACTGCAGTAAAAGGAAAATGGAT